TGCGTGTGTGTGTGTGGTGTTGTGGTGTCTGTGTGTTTGTTGTAGTTTGTTTGTGTTGTCATTGTGTGTGTGTGTGTGTGTGTTTGTTTCTGTGAGTGTGTGTGTTTTGTGTGTCTGTGTGTAGGTGTCTGGTGTGTGTGGTGTGTGTGTGGGTTGTGTGTGTTGTTTGGTGTGCGTGTGGTGTGTTATGTGTTCGTGTGTTGTGTGTGTGGTAGTGTTCCCGGTGTTGTGTGTGTGGTGTTGTGTGTATGTGTTTTTGTGTGTGTGGGTGTTTTTTGTCTGTGTGTGTGTGTGTTTGTGTCGTGTGTCTGTGTCTGTGATGGTTGTGTGTTTATTATGTTGAGCTGACTATAGTTTTGGGCAGGCTCCCATGTGTCCTCCCAGTCCTTGCCACTGCAAAACACACATAAAGAACAGTTGAATAATTATTAATATGTCATGCTATATATATTTCTGATGCTTAATCAGGCAAGTAAGTCAATTTAAAATAGGATTTGAAACATTAGCTTCAGCTCAATGTCCCTCTTCGACTCCTCTCTCCCCTTCCTCCGGGACTTGACCCGGAAATCAATCAAGACACGCCATGTTGAAGGACGTCACAATCGCTTCAACGCAAACGGAGGAGTCGAGGAGGGGTGAGGGAGGAGGCTTCCAGAGGAGACGAAAGGTAGGATACACGAGAGCACACTACTCGCGCATCAGACCTCCGCCCCCAGCTGCACAGCCTCTGCTCACTGCAGCTGATCTTACCGTTAAAGGAGGATCAGAGTCATTAAATGTTTAAAGTGCTTCATTAAGAGTAAAATATATTAAATCTCTTAAACGAATCAGGAGATCGAACTCTATAAAGACATTAAAGTGTGTGAAATATACTTACAAATTCTATAATAATTTTTTGATTATAAAATAATAACGTACTGTTCTTACTTGTGGTTTGTGATGCATGTGTGGTAGACCCACAGCACGTCAAACATTTAGGATATATACAAATACGGGTAACTGATAACTAATAATAATACATATGTTAGTGATTTGTGTCTCTCTTCTGTAGGACAAATTACATAACAACATACAATACAAAAGTATTCAATTGAGATGAGCCTACTGTATCAGTGTATAAACCCTTTGCTTCCAGTACAACACATACATGTATGGTCATTAAGGAAAAACTTACCACTTGGAGCATGGTGTCCAGCGAATTTTCACTTCTTGTCTTTGCTGAAAGGCATGATATGAAATGGACAGAAATATTAATGAGAGATACTTTACAAAGTTAGGTGATACAACTTTACAGAACATTATTTGTACCATTTATAGACCATCAATAAGGTTAGATTTCTACACATAAACAATACTAACAGACAACAGCATCTGAAACCAGAGATACAGAAGAATCCACTATCGTACCAGTATGGAGCAGCTTCTTTAAGACTGGGAGTTTCCTACAACACAAGGTTATAAGGTGATGCAAAACGTAGTCCTGTAATGCTTACAATGACAACAAAAGGTGCAGTGTCGAGGATGGATTGAGGAACCTCACTGCTCCATACTTGTACGATAGTGGATACTTGTGTATCTCTGGATTCAGAGGCGTTATATGTTAGTATCGTTTGGGCTCTGTGCAGATATCTCACTGATGGTCTGTAGACGGTACCAATAATGTTCTGTACGTTTTTATGTTATTTAACAAGAAAAACAAAAAGGAAGAAATTATAACACACTTACATTAAAAACTCTTCTTTCCACAATGCTCTCATAGAGGAACACCTTCTGGGTCCTGTGTTTCCTGCATTCTAAAAATAAATAACACCATTTGAATAATTAGGTAATAATAGATAGATAGATAGATCGTACTTTATTGATCCCAAATTGGGAAATTGTTTTTGTTACAGCAGCATAAAAGGCATTTTACAATAAAACAAAATATACAAGAATAGAAATAAAATAAAATAAAATAAAATATAAAATATACATGTCAAAATACAAAATAGAAAATATACATACAGATATTATATATATATATATATATATATATATACAAATATACAAATATATATATATTCAAAATATATGGAATTATGGAGTATTAAATATGAAACAGATTATGTGTGAGTAAAATGTACAAGGTGGTTTTATTTCAAGAGAAACTATGGAGCAGAGAGTTCTCTTCCAGCCAGAGGTGATTTGTTGTACAGAGTTATGGCAGGGGAGCTGCAGCAGTCTGTTGGAGAAGGAGCTCCGCTGACTGTCCAGCTGCAGGTGGAGAGGATGGGTGGGGTTATCCATGATGGACAACAGCCTGTTCAGTGTCCTCCTCTCCACCACAGCTTCAAAGGGTTCCAGCTTGATGCCGATGACTGACCCAGCTTTCCTGATCAGTTTATTGATCCTGCTGGTGTCACCGGCTCTGATGCTGCCCCCCCAGCAGACCGCAGCAAAGAAGAGTGCACTAGCCACAACAGACTGATAGAAGATCTCCAGCATCTTACTGCATACGTGGAAGGATCTCAGCTTCCTCAGAAAATAGAGTCGGCTCATCCCCTTCTTGTACACAGCGTCAGTGTTGATCCTCCAGTTCAGCCCATTGTCTAAGTGCACTCCCAGGTACTTGTAGACCTCCACAACTGCCACATCCTCTCCCAGAATGCACAGGGGCAGAGGAGGAGATGTCCTCTTCCTCCTGAAATCAATGACCATCTCTCTGGTCTTGGCCACATTCAAAAGCAGATGATTTCTTCCAGTCCACTCAACAAAATCACCCACCAGCGCTCTGTACTCCTCCTCCCGTCCATCCCTTATACACCCTACCACTGCAGAGTCATCCGAAAACTTCTGCAGGTGGCATGACTCTGAGTTGTATAGAAAGTCAGAGGTGTATAAGGTGAACAGGAAAGGAGACAGCACAGTCCCCTGTGGGGCTCCAATACTACCAACCACCACATCAGACAGCACACTGCCCAGCCGGACGTACTGTGGTCTGTCCGTGAGGTAGTTGGTAATCCAGGAGATGGTGGACGAGTTTACCCTCATAGCCTGCAGCTTGTCACTCAGTAGCCGAGGCTGGATCGTGTTGAATGCACTGGAGAAATCAAAAAAGGTGATTCTCACAGTGCAACCCGATCCATTCAGGTATGAGTGAGCACGCTGCAGCAGGTAAATAATGGCATCGTCCACCCCCAGGTGAGGCTGGTAGGCAAATTGCAGAGGGTCAAGGAATGATCTCACCTGCGGTCTGAGATGGGCCAAGACCAGTCTCTCAAGCACCTTCATCACATGAGATGTGAGTGCTACAGGGCGATAGTCATTGAGCCCAGAAGGAGTTGTCTTTTTAGGGACCGGAACAACGCATGATGTCTTCCACAGCACCGGGATGGTCTCCAAGTGCAGGCTCAGGTTGAATATATACTGGAGAACAGGAGCCAGCTGGCGTGCACAGGTCCTCAGGACCCTGGGGCTGATACCATCAGGGCCAGCAGCCTTGCCTTGGTGGAGTTTTTCCATCTGACTCTGGACCTGTCCTGTGCTCACAGTGAAGCGGGGGGGGGGGCTTGATGGAAGGGGGGATAGAGGGGGGGGGGTCTGAGGCAAGATGAGCAGAGGGGGGGGGGGGGGGTCAGCGGCAATGTGAGCAGAGGGGGGGTGCAGAAGCCAGGCTGGGTGGTGGAGGAGAGGTGTGAAGTGTAGGTGGTGAGCAGAGGGGGGATGTTGACGCCAGGCTGAGAGGAGGAGGTGAGGTGAGAAGAGGAAGTGGAGGAGACAGCAGCGGGCGGAGAGCTAAACCTATTGAAGAAGGTGTTCAGCTCGTTGGCCCTCTCCAGGGTGCCCACAGTCAGTCTGTCTCTCCCTTTGAAGCCAGTGATAGCCTTCATCCCAGCCCAGACATCCCTGCTATTGTTCAGCTGGAGCTTAGTCTCCAGCTTCTTCCTGTACGAATCTCTGCCCCTCCTCAAATTGTCTCTCAGTTGATGCTGGACACTCTTCAGCATTGATTTGTCCCCAGACTTATAAGCTTCCTTTTTCTTATTTAAAAGAGTTTTCAGGTCACTAGTAATCCAGGGTTTATTATTGGGGAAACAGTTGACAGTTTTAGCCGGTAATATTGTTTGTTCACAGAAGTTGATGTATTCTGTGATGCAGTCAGTCATATTATTGATGTCCTCTCCATGTGGCACACAAAGCACGTCCCAGTCAGTGGTCTCGAAGCAGTCCTGTAGAGCCTCATTAGCCCCTGGAGTCCATTTCCTCACAGTCCTGGTGGATACAGGCTGCCTCTGCACCAGTGGGACATATTTAGGAGCCAAAAAGACGAGGTTGTGGTCAGATCTGCCCAGGGGGGGGAGGGCAGTGGCACAATATGCATTCTTGGTATTAGCATATAGAAGATCCAGAGTATTATTTCCCCTGGTGGGGCATTTCACATACTGAGTGAATGTAGGCAGAGATTTGTCCAGTTTTGCACGGTTAAAATCCCCAGTTATTGTTATGAATGCATTTGGGTGAAGAGTTTGGAGTTTGGCCACAGAAGAGTGAATGACGTCACCAGCCACCTCCGCGTCCGCGTTCGGTGGAATATAGACAGCAACTACGATGACAGAATAAAGTTCTCTAGGTAGATAAAATGGACGTAATCCCACAGCTAGCAGTTCAATGTCCGGGCTACAGAAACGCTCCTTCACAGTAACATGTCCAGGATTACACCATCGTTCGTTCACATACAGTGCAATCCCTCCTCCTTTCTTTTTACCGCTCAGAATAACGTCCCTGTCCACCCGAACACTCGTGAAGCCGGGGAGAGCCGTGTTATTATCCGGGATGAGCGAGTGCAACCAAGTCTCGGTAAAACACATGATGCTACACTCACGGTATTCCCACTGCGTCTTCGTCAGCACGCGGAGCTCGTCCATCTTATTCCCCAAAGACCTCACGTTCCCCATTATGATGGCCGGTACACAGGGTTTGTACCTCATCTTCTTCTTCATCCTCAGCTTGGCCCCAGCTCTGCAGTCCCGCTTGAGCCTCCGAAGCTCCTCCGGGATGTCATGCCTGGCTCCGGGCAGCAGCACGGGTCGGCACAGCGCAATCAGCTGCTCACGCGTGTAAACAATGCCATCACTCCTCTGAGCATGGCTCTCCGACACAAAAAGTGAAAAAAGTAGCAGAAGAATGACCAGAAAACGTTCGAAGTAAAACGTGGCCATAGTTCGCTGCAAAACAAAATAAATATCCAAAGAAAAAAGTACAACTAAGAGAATAAAAGTAAACAAAAAGACAAAGAACAATAAAACACCGGGAGCTGCATGCAACAAGAAATGTATTGTATAGTATATAGTATAGTATAGTGCAAATCAAACCTTTTCGACTTTTCTTTGACGGTGGAGGCGGTGGAGGAGAAGACAAGGAGGAGAGAGAAGGCTGGGAGCATGGAGGAGGTGGAGGAGAAGACAAGGGGGGGAGAGAAGGCTGGGAGCATGGAGGCGGTGGAGGAGAAGACAAGGGGGAGAGAGAAGGCTGGGAGCATGGAGGCGGTGGAGGAGAAGACAAGGGGGAGAGAGAAGGCTGGGAGCATGGAGGAGGTGGAGGAAGAGAAAAAAGATGGAGAGTAAATGTCTCCGGAAGCTCTGGCTCTGGCTCTGGCTCTGGCTCTGGCTCTGGCTCTGGCTCCGTCTCTGTCCCTCGCTCCGTCTCTCGCTCTGGCTCTTGCTCTGGTCCAGGGGGGGCTGGTGGACCAGCAGATGTCGATGCAGCTTGTTGTGCAGCACACACTGCAAATGTTGAAAATAATACAAGGGAAAATTAACAGAACACATTTTAAGGAAGACTTATTTTTGGCCTTACTTGCAAGAAATTAATTAAATGCATTGAATTTCCCTCTTATTAGAAATCAACCAGGTAGTTCTTAAGTGAATGAAATGCAGGTAGTGTGAAAATAATGTTTTTAAGCTACCACAGCTGACTGTAGACATATTGCTATGTTTCTCATATCAGTGTTTAACACAACAACTTATCGTATTTAGTTAAGACCATGATCATAATGAAAATGTAGTTGCAGTCTGGAGCAGCTTCTCTCATTAAACTAGAAATAATTTAAAACTTGCAGATAAATACATTAAATCTGTAATGAAACATGGTGATAAGACTTTTGACAGGTTGTTGCCGGGTATGTTTTTGCAAAGAACCACGTGCGTCTCACAGAAGAAAATAGGCATGACTTTTCGGATGCCCAGATAAAAAGCATAAGCCGTAATGATAAGCACACGTGCAGCGTACGGCACCATGTGTGTCCTGGACATTAGGGTGCGAGGTAGGAGTGTCATGATGTCTAATTTCATTGAATGTCTTTTGCCTCAACTCGTCTCTCGAGGTGTCTCCTCCTCTTCTCCCATCTCATGTGAGAGGGATTAAGACATGAAGAGAGGAGGCAAGAGTTACAAACTGGGAAAACAGAGCAGCCTCATATCTTTATGATGCCTGCAGAGATGTGTTTGTATTACAGACACATGCATAACGTGCATGCTTGCTAACTACAGGTGAGTAATGTCGACATTTGCATTCAATTCAACCCTTTAAATATTTGTGTATAGCACATTTCAATGTTGTCCAAAGTGCTGTACAGGCTTAAAACACAATACAAAATAAAGAAATATGCATACAAATAATTAATTATAAATAAAAACTAAAAAGTAGGTAACTGCAATACCATTAGTGTGGTACCCTCATATTAGTATCTTAGTGTTCACAGTGATAACATGCTGGCCCTGACAAGCCCATGTTGACAGCCTTTGTTCTATAATACAGCATAGGTTGTATTATATAAAAAAGGCTCAGGGGGGGGATGACATTTTAATGATATAACGGGATAGATGTAACAGAAGTGTGAATTTGATGAATGCATTGACACAAAGCCCATGGACGACTACACAATGAGATAATAAAGTACAAGTATGATCTTACTTTTCAGGAGGTACTCATAGAGTTTCCTCATTTTGAGTAGGATCTCCCTAACGACCCCATCAGCATTTCCAAAATGGTGGACCAGATCCCCACGGATCTCCCCACTGCGGCCCTTATTGGAAAGGAAAAGGACCGGGCTGGAGCCAAGGGTGTGTAGTTTAAGAACCTGCAAGAATTGGAGCGAAAAAGATTGCATACAGGCACATTGATCAATGATACAAATCTTTTTAAAGCCAGAAAAATGGTTTCACATTCACTGAGGGCAAGGCTGTTTGACAAATAAGATATGTAATCGTCTGAGAGGCCAAACATCTTAAATAATAAGTCATTTAAACTCACAGATAGCTCGGCCGACTTAACGGTCCTGCTGGCGTTCCTGTTGCTCTTCACAGAAGCCCCCCAGCTAGAGTCCTTTAATTCCGCTTCTTTTTTTTTAAATGTTTTATTTATTTGAAGGGGGCAGACACACACCACACATGTTTTACGCCCAAGGGAATTTGGGGCCTGGCAGGAGGGGCACAGTTGTTTTTTGGGCTTTGTCATTCTGCAAATGAAAGTTAAACATAGAGGGATTATCTCAAAAATGTTTGCTGTCAGTTGATCAATTTGTTCTCAAATACACAAATATGTTATTAAGTTCATGCTCTATATTAAATGCAATTGGAGAGACAGAAGATACAGTCTAATATGCTGTGAATACTTGAGATAGTGCGCAAACTTCCAATGGTTTGAATCAAATTAATATATTCATATGTGAATATTCAATATATTCAAACACAAATGACAAGTGGGGTTTTTGTATAATAGAATGTAACATTTAAACGCCAATTAACATTCTGTTAATAATTAGGCTAATGTGTACTGACTTCTAATGTACTGTGTAATTTGTTCACATATAAACATCATGACATTAAATGATGGCATTCCTTCTTGATGACAGCTTATGGTAAAAAAAACAAATGACCAGCAACCGCAGTGACGCGTCCTAAACATTTTACGTCATTACACCGAACATGTAAAACACTCCCGCTAAGTAATAAATAATAAATAAATAATAATAATTACAAATACTTTCGCTCCAGAGAGTCCTCTTTGTTTTGATGAGCGATACAACTAACAGTGCTAGCTCCTTTGATGACTACGACATTGTACTAACACAGCTAGCTAGCCACACGGTGGCTAATGCTAGCTTCTAAATGATCCGTTATTACAAAAAAGAAAATAACTGTTACAGACTACATTTTCTTTAAGTTTCTCGTACTGTCTTACGAATCCTGCTGCCTGGGTGGGACTTGAATACATAACCCAAATATTTTATTTGAGTTATATTTGAATATTGTCGAAAATTAAGTGAGCAGTCGAGTTTATTACAGCTTACCTTGCTGGTGTCTCAAGGTTCCGAGCAATGTATCACGTGAACTACGTGACCTCGAGACCTGGCCTTGCGAAGATAGCTGAGGATTGTGGGTAGTGTAGTGTCTTCGGCCATCCAAAACTCAAAACTACTTGTTTCTCAGAATTGAAGGGGAAAACGTGACAAAAGCATTTTACACTAAAGCCTATCAATGTCGTTTCATTAACAAGGATAATCTGGTGGTTTTTAGTTAATGAGTAGTGCAAATATCACCTATTTATGTTTAATCCAATCACAGAGCTTGTTGACTTATCACGAGGTTTTGTCGCAAAGCGGACAGACAATCACAACAATAGCTGGGGATTGTGGGTAGTGTAGTCTCTTTGGCGCTCCACATTTCAGAGAAAACAAGTTGTCTCAGAATTGTAGGGGAAAAACACAAAAGCATTGTACACAATTTAAACCTATCAATGTCGTTTAATTAACAAAGGTAATCTGGTGTTTTTGAGTGGATGAGTAATGGAGATATCACTGTCAAATCAATCGACAGTAAGGAGAATACTTACTTCCGGGTGTACAATTCTCCGTTATCCAATGGGAATGGACGCTCACATTGCCTTTAACAGCTGCCGACACAAACGAATGCCGTGCTTCCCTAAGCGTCAAATACCGACGCCGATGGGAATACATTGCAATCAGTTGAAAGCTCTTTGCATCCGTTTATGACGCTGATGGAAACTCGGCGCGTCACAACTGGACGCCACGGAATTCTGACCAAGCGTCGCTCCTGGACGCGTTGGGAGTGAGAGTGTGTTGCACCAGCAGATGACAAACACCCACCTCTCCGCCTCTTCCAAGGAACCAGGGGACCGTGCGGCAGAGTTTCAGTTTCAGTTTCTTTCGCCGGTCAAGATGTCCGTTAAAGTTTAAATCTTCCAGACAAAGTTAGAAAAGTGCCGGTCAAAGGTCTTCTTTGTTATTTATTGAGCTTTAAAACAAATGAATAACGACTCTATATAATAATATAATAAAACACGGAGGACGGAGATCCCCCCCCTCTTCTGAGAGCCCAGCAGCTGTTCAGAGCACGCTCCCCTCTCCTGCAGGGGGGCGTGGTCAGCTGCAGCTCACAGAATCAGCCCCCTGCAGGGCTGGAGAACAGCAAATAGAGCTGGTTGATGAGGGGAAAGGAACGTTTGGGGCTCTCTGCTGGAACTGATACCTCCACGACCCGACCACGGATAAGCGGGAGAAGATGGCTGGATGGATGGGTAATCGAATACAGTTACTTTTTTGTATCCTGTTACATGTAATCCATTTCCCCCGAAGCCTGATCATATCACCTGTTAATGCGTACTGTGTGTCACATGCAACACTAGTGCTGAGCACACACAATTATAATTTAATTGTTGTGTTTTTTCATTAAAAAATATCAGTAGCATCATGTTAGCCAATTGGCATTTCAAGGGTTAAATTCTGAAAATAAATTAATATTTTGCAGTTATGATGAAAACTGATCTTGGTTCAAAGATTTCACCTTTTGTTTTATAATTTAAATAATATTTTGTAAAGCATTCTTTAAAAGGGAGGGGACATGTTGGTGCTCTGAGGACATCGGAGGAACGTTTCTTAAAAATAAGCACAAGGGGTTAAAAGACAACAGCTTATCGTCTGTTCAAATGATTCTGTGAAAAATATAAATATGCATCAAAATCCAATGTCTGGTTTTTAATCATTTAATAATAATAATAATAGATTTATTTTGTAAGCGCTTTTACGGGTGCTCAAAGTCGCTTTACAGAGATAGTGAAAAGAAAAGAACAACAAATAAATATAGTTGAAGTCAAATAAAAATCAAGCAATACAAAAACAATCACACATTAGAAGCCAGATTGAAGAGGTGAGTTTTTGTGAGTGTTTTGAAGGTGGAGAGGTGCCGTCTCTGATGGGCTGTGGGAACCGACCAAGACAGTGAAAAGATAATCCCTCCTTGCATTTAGTACACAGAACATTTGAATGGTTACAATCCTGACAAGTGAATGTATTTTGTAAGAAAAGAGTGAAGATTCAGTGAAAATTATATTTATTTATTATTTCTTGATGGTGCTTCTTTTTCCTTTAAGCACATGAGTTTAGAGACACGAGGTTTTAGACGGTTTCTCTGATACCCCATTCACACCAACGGTGTTTCAGGGCCGGTTCGGTGCTGGAGCTTGAAAAGCACCGGGTTTTCCTGTTCACACCGCAGCGGAGCCGCCTCTAAGCTCCGGAATCCGGTTCGTTTCGAGCACCAAAAAGTTGTCCGTCTAGAAGCAAGAACCGCATACGTCACGCTTACGTCGGAGGGGGGCGAGATTAACCTGAGCTAACAGTTAAGGCGAGTACGGCAAATAAAAGTTGTAACAAGCAGTAGCGCTGAGCAAAGTGACTAGAACGCAACCACACACTTGTTAAAAAAAACACACTTTATAAAGTCAGGCAACACTAACCAGGCTTCGTGTGATTCTGTTTATTTGTACCTTACTTTGACCATCCGTTCGCTGTTATTGATCATTGTGGAGAGCAGGCAGACGTTTGTTATTATAGCAGCTATCGGATGGAATCAATACATGGGCTGCACAGGTTGTCATGTCCGACTATCACAAGTAGAATCATAATGAAAAATACGTCGGTAAAAAGTGCCTGTAGAAAACTGCTTAGCAAGTAGTCAGTTTAGCTTCGGTTGCTATGCTAACATCACCCATGTTATACCAGAGAAACTTTCATAACAGCGTTGTGATGCCAAACAGCGTCAATTCAGACTGACACACATTCACTTAAGGGGAACTGGGGATATGTATCAGCTGCTTGTGTGACAGTCAGACAGTGAATACTTTAGAGCCGTGTGAGCTAACCCGGAGCTAACGGGAGAATACACTCCCGTGGAAGAGCAGCCAGCACTGCAGCGGTCGGTAAATGCCGCTGAAACACATTAATAAACAATGAACCACGGCACTCTGGAGAAAAGTATAAGGTTGGAGAAGTCGTTATTTAATTTAATCTGGCTTCGTATGATTAAAAGCAACACGATCATCGACCCGAAGCAGTGTCCCATTGTTGTTGAAGTAGTGAGCGCCGTTGAGGAGAAAATCAGCGACGTAAACTGTGACGTCATGACGCAGCAGCGGCAGCACCAGTCGGGCTCTGAGCGGTGTGAACAGAGCGGGAGCTGAACCGAAGAACCGGTTCTGAACCAGAAAAGCTCTAGCACGGAGCTAGAACGGGAAAAGCCTTGGTGTGAAAGGGGTATGAGTCACATTTGGTTTCTCGTAAGGACTTTTCAGATTCAGATCCTTCGCCTCTGGTTCCAGATCTCTCGCCCACGTTTCTTCTGGTTAAAGAGTTCGCTGACTATAGGAGAAGTGTGATAAGTAAGTGATATGGGTTCTTTTAATGACCGCCTCGCTGCACATTATCCCGCTTATTACAAGGCCACATTCTCAACAAAGTAACAACATTAATTGAAATGCTTTTATAGATTTAGAAAATGTTTTTATTGATTTAAAAAATAGTATTATTGATTTAAAAAGTAGTTTTATTGATTTAAATTGACATGCATCCGCTAAGAAAAATAGTCCGTTGTTACCGTTTGAACTACGTAGCAATGGCAGGAACTGCTTCGATAGCGTTTTTGAGGAGCTTTTTGATTACAGATTTGAAAACATCGTTGCTTGCTTTAAAAGTAGCTCAAGTCATGATGTCAGACGTTGGGAAGTATCTAGATATCCCTGCCCTCATGCCAAAGGAACTGCACACTGAATATGTGTCGCCGTTTGATGTCTATGTCTGGACCTTAACAACTTAAGTACTACTGGATTAACAACGTGTCACGTGTTCTGAATTGACCAATCAGAATCGAGTATTCAACTAAGCCATGTAATAAACTGGGTTAAACACCAAGGTTAATATTGTCCTCAACAAAAGGGTTCAATTTTAACTGTATTGTAATATTATATTTTAAATGTACTATGTACTACTTTACAGACCTGTACTTTAATCTTGTTTTATAACTGTTTGTCTGATAGCGATTATGCAA